CCCGCCGATACCGATGGTGAAGGCGCGATCTTTCCAGTCGCGGCCCTCAATCAATGGCATTTCACGGTTCAGATAGGAACCAGGTCCGTCGAGGATCTCATGCGAATGACCGTGACCACCGAAATCATCGTGAGAGTGGCTAATGTCTTGATCATGAGAGTGAGAATGCGACATTTTGGTGGGGGGTTGAGGGAAAGGTATCGTTATAGTAGAGGGGGTATCCAGAGTATAATAGGATGTAATGATGAATTGGGTGTGGAGGGGTAGTTATAGTATTATACAGTACCACAGGAGGGGCATCCAGAAGGTTCAGTTATTTAATCATCAATTTAGAGTTGTTGTCGGCCATGGACGGCATTCGTTCGCCGAACCAGCGGAGACTGCCGATACCTCGAGCAATTCTTTCCTACGTAACTCGTTTCCTTCTCTTCATGACGATTTTCGTCTAAGCGAGGTAGCATTCCGATTGGACCCATGCTGACATGAACCGATATGTCATGGGATTTGATAAGATTGGATCTCCGGGCGGGTTGAAATAAGATAAGTAAATGGACTCCGCAATCCATTGAACTGTTCCCCCAATGTCGATCCACCGAAGATCTCCTTGGCCAGGAGCACTACCCCAATGTGCAACATGTTTCATGTCCAATCAACTTGTCTAACTATTATAGAAATCAAATACCAAACAAAACGAAATCAGTCAATCAATCAATAGAGCCATAACTACATTATCTCTTCAGGTACATTCCCAAACGGCGCAGTATGCAGTGTCAAACGTACAGCACAGACGAAATAGCAGCAAGAATTATTTCCAGAGAACAGAAGCCCAACGCCAGACACATCAATCGCCAATGGAAAGACATGGATATCAATAGAGCGGTCCGAATGGTAGAAAATGACCAGTAACGCTATTGGGAATCGAGCTCAGCGTCTCGCAACATCACCTCCACAAGATACAGAGGCAGAACAAAGTCACAAGACATGGACTCCGAGCAAACAAACCACAAGCAATAAAGTAGATCGGGTACGGCGGGAACAATGCGTAGTAGGCGATATGGACTTCAGTGAGGCCGGTGCCTCGCATCACCAACCGAGGTCGCAACGAACAGCCATACCGTATCAATCACACTACACCGACAAAAGACCGCGCATAATTGCAATAACAACGATAATCCGATATGTTCAATGGATAGAGGCCCCAGAAAAAAGAGAAGATCAGCATCGCAAAGGTATCCAAAAACGGTACGCCAGTTCCCCGTCTCTTGAGAAAATTGAAAATGTCACCAAAAAAATGCGAACAAAGCCCATCGCAATAACTCCTCTAATTAGCAGTGCCTTTCTGCCTTTTACCACCCACTCGAGGACTAGCTTTTACCGTCTTTGGTCCCGGAGCAGCGACGCCGTTGACCTCCGGAGCACCGCTATCATCGCTTTCCATCTTGACTGTGCTTGCCCGGCGTCGTTTATGACTAACATTCGGGCTGGCACTAGCGCTCGTGCCCTGGCCAACATTAGGTTGCATTTGACCCTGTGGCACCATACCTGGAGGGCCAGCAAGATGGCTTTGCGCCGGACTTGGATGAGCCGAACCGACAAGATGGGGCGACCCTTGGGCGCCTGGCAGACCAAGATGGGCCATTGCTGGAGAAGCAAACTGGTTGGGTCCATTCATATTGGGGCCCCGCGGGTTCTGGCCAGGCTGCATCGCTGGGTTCATCGGGGCTGGCATGAACCCGGGGGTTGGCGTTTGAGTCGGGAGACTATTAACGAGGTTACGCAGCGCCTCAGGGGCCGAAAGTTGAGGGTTCTGTTGAGAGTATTGGAATAGCAATTGCATTTGAGAAATTGTTTCGGCGACCTATAGCGCATCTGTGATTAGCTATGTCACCAAGGAGACCATTTGAAGACTTACCTCTAAGAAGCTCATTACAGCGAAAGGTACACCATTGGCGGTCACCATAGATTCGGGCAAGGTAAAGGCAGGCTGCTGGGCCTGTTTCTGTTGAGCCCGCTTGCCCATATTCTTAGAAACTTTCGGACTTTGTTTTTGGTCGGCAGCCTCCAATGCTTGCAATTGGCTGCGAGGAAGGTACTCAGTATAACTCGTGACCTCGATATCAAGCATTTCAATTTTGTTGTTCATATCGAAGTGCGCCCTCAATTTTCCGTTGGTAAAAATCTATTTCTAGGTTAGCGACCCACATATGACATAGTTTACGTGGAGGAACACACCTGCGTATCGTTGACAAACCAATATATAAATGAGGTTTTTAGACTTTCGACAATATGACCCCCATTTGGTGAGTCCCTCTCCCGTGCATTTTCAACAACCATTTGAATGTGACGAATTCCGCTTGTGAACTGGGTTAGGTAGTAGCGTGCTAGTGCAGGAGTTGCGATCTCGAACTGTTTAGAGCCGGTCTGCGGATTCCATACTCCTTGTCGCAAAACGCCAGAGGGGGAGTAGAATTTATCCACGAAAGACTGCCAGTATAACAAGTCGTGCGCCTCACCGCGGCTCTGTGAACAATTAGCATTCGCTTTTCAGAGATATATTCTAAGCATGCAAGTAGTACACACCGTGAAATTACTGAGCTGTTCCGCAAATGTATTAAGGCATAGTATCGTCGCCCCTTTCATGTTCATCCGTTGCTGTATCATCATCGCATTCTGCTGTTGCTGCGCCTTCAACTGAGCCTCCTGGGCTGTCATCGGCGGTCCCTGCTGCTGCTGACCCTGCGGCTGTTGTTGCTGACCCTGCTGCTGACCCTGCTGGCCCTGTTGTGGTTGCGGCTGCGGTTGCGATTGGGGCTGCTGTTGCGGTGGCTGCTGTGGTTGTGGCTGCGGTTGTTGTTGTTGCGGCTGCTGTTGCTGCTGCTGACCTTGCTGACCCTGCTGAACCGGTTGCTGGGACTGCGGTAATTGCTGTGGTGGCGGATTGGGCGTTGGCTGCGGCTGCGGAACGGCAGGCTGCTGCGGCGGCTGAGACGTAGGTGGATGTTGTTGAGGGGTTGGTTGTGGGGTAGCACTTCCCTGGTGCGGCGGCGGCATCGGCTGCGGTTGAGGGGTGACACTTTGTGCATCATGTACACTTTGAGGTTGAGGAGCTGGGCGCTGCTGTGGAGTCTGCTGACCTGGTTGTGGCGTCTGCTGTTGCACTTGCTGGGCCTGGTGTGCTTGCTGAGCCACCTGTTGGGCCTGCTGGGCTTGCATAGCCAGAAATTGCTGCTGTTGCTGTTGTATATTCTGCGGCTGCCCATGAGGCATCTGCTGAAGTTGCATTTGGGAGATGACCGGACGCATCCCAGGATTCTGCATGGCTGCCAGCTGAGCGGTATTCAATGCCTGCGTACCATTGGGCATTGACACGGGAAGCCCTCCATGCTGTTGCTGTTGTTGTTGCTGCTGTTGCTGAAAGAGCATCCGCTGTCTCAAGAGTTGTTGCTGATGCTGTTGATGCATGAGTTGAGGGTTATTGGCAACTATAGGATAAAGACATATATAATTAGCTGTCAAAGTATATCATCGTGACGCTTGGTATGTCATGTTCAGGACAATCGGGTGTTTGAAGGATAAGAAAAAGGAAGAGGAAAAAAAAAAATAACTTACACTGTTGCGCAAAGTGTGGTTGCTGGAATAGATGCGCTTGCGCTGGATTTAGGTGAGAGAGAGCATGAGCCTGTACAGGTCCGCCAGGCGCGGTTGTTCCAGCACCTGGTGGCATCCCGCCCATCATTGGCCCGCCCTGAGTGACCTGAGGTCCTCCCGGAGCTGATACTCCGGGATGTACTTGCTGTACCATTCCGGCACCGGGATGAGCATTTGGGTGCTGACCAGGGGCCAATGGGTGACCCGGGGGGATACCGGGATGCTGCGGGATCCCCTGATGGGCAGGAAATGGCTGCGCCATCATCATCGCTGTACAACGAAGTCACCGATAACGGGACTCCTAGGAATCGATGGACAGGGGAGAGCGAGAGACGGCGAAGGGGGAGGGGAGGCGGGAAAAAGAATGTTCTAGGAAGCAAGTGAGAGATTGAGAAGGGAAAGGTATTAAGACGAAAGGAGGGAATTCAGAAAAAAAATTATTAAAGATTGTCAAAATATCGACAGTTGGTGATGAAGGCGAGCGTCCGACTCAAAGCAAAGCGCGCTTGACGTGGAGGCACAACAGGCCGCTTTTAGCGTCGGAGCGGAGGCCAAGACGCAGCTGACGGGTAACTGAGCCTGCGTCTGGTATCGTCCAGAGCCAGACGAGCGCAGGAGCATGGATCGAACCCGGCCTAATCACCTCTGCCCGCCAAAATTGGTCGGCCCCTAAAAATGTTCAATGTTAGTTGTCGGGGGCGGTCGGGGGAGGGTGGGAAAGTTGGGAGAACGGGTGTGGAAAGGGAAGACACGGGTAAGAAGATAGATAAGTGGAAATGGGTTTAGGGAGGCCGGAGGTGTGGAGGGGCTAAAGGGCCAACGAAAGAGCAGACGGCACCTGTCGCGATCGCCAGTTCAATCCCTCACCCAAGAAATTCCAATACGGTGGGCAAACACCGCCACGAGTTGACCTGAAATAACGACGGAGCCCAACTGCCGTGAGTGGATCAAGGCAAGAACGAGGCTACGGGGGAACAAGAAAAAAACAAAAAAAAAAAAAAAAAAAAAAAAAAAAAAAAAAAAAAAAAAAAAAAAAAAAAAAAAAAAAATTAAGGAAAAAAAAAAAAAAAAAAAAAAAAAAAAAAAAAAAAAAACAAAAAAAAAAAAAAAAGTCAGAAGGGAAAGAAAGAGAGAGGCAAAAAAAACAGGAGAAAGGGTCAGAGATTCATGGGCAGATCTGCTGGTCCTGAGGCTTTTCTTCGATTCTCAATCCAATCGTCCGGCGCGAATCATGCTAGCCGCTAGTCCTATTCAGGTAGGACTCACGTGAGATGATCCGCCTCGGGAAAAACTTTTTTGCCTCCTCTTTTTATTTTTTTTTTTACTATTTCTTTGCCGTTCGGTTTCTTCTGCGCGAATTTTTTTCTCTTCTTCTCCTATTCTTCAACCTCTCGAATTTGTTCTCACAAGGTTTCGACCAAGTAACAGATCGACCGCATGCTTTGTTCGATAATGTCTGAGCACATGCAACGATCGCACTGTCATTCCTGACGTGGCCAATGGGCACGGATTTTACTCGCCTTTCACAGCGGTCAATCGTACCACAACTTGACTAACAAAACAAAGATCAGGTCATATTAGCTGATCCTTGCGCGGTATAATGAAGGTCAGTCTCTCAGTCTTCTTCTCCTATTCTTTCCTTTCTCTCCTTTCTTCGAAGATGACAAACCACACCTTTCTTCTTTACTATCTCTGAATCGCCCCTGACGAGACATTCGGACCTTCCTTTCCCGGTTGGTCTGCTACTTGCCAGTATATTTTGTCTGAGATTTACCATATACTATACATCGCCTCATTGCCTTGTTTTGAACTGTTCACTAACGGTGTTTGAAGCAGAATACACGTCCATTCTTATGTCATCGTGCTAGTCCACAAAGAGAAATTTTCTAGAATAGCTGAGAATACTTTGAACAATGCAAGATTTACTATGGAATTCACTTGACCGTTAACCAGATGTCTGGCCCGTAGCCTAGTAGACCTTGAATGAATCTTGGTAGGCCGTAATAGAGTTCACGCATCAAAGTACCTTTCATCCTTGGCAATCGAGGTACAACTATTACCGCTGAGTCTACGAAGAATTCTTCTTGGGCCTAGATCTTCCCCTCATCCCCAATTTACCCAATTGACCTGATAATAGATTCACAAAAGTGTAACAGATGTTGGAAATTGCAGGCCGAAACAAAGAAAGCCGCCGAGACGTCAAACTTTGACAGGAGCAAGACATATAATTAAACAGACATAAGTTAAGGGCTATCACCAATGATACAGCTCGACCGACTTGGCTGACGCTGCTTTAAATACATCAATAAAATCTAAGCTTATTCAAAGTCTGGTGAATAACGCCCGTCAAGGTAAATACGAGTACCACATTATTGGGGTTTAGTACCAATGTTGTGCCTCATTCTCCATGAATTACCTTAGGGAAGGAACAAGATAGACCGGAAGGATCAATTAGGTGAATATAGTCTTGTCCTGGCAAACAAAACCCCTGGTATAGAATGTTGTGAAATACGAAGGGCGGAGGACGGAAACCTAAAGTGAAACTATACTACAGAACATTACATGAACCCGGAAGCGTTAACGAGTAAATGAGAATGGCATTAGGAGACAAGGCAAGTGAAGGCACTTTAATATATTCGTGAATGATCCCTGATAAACTGACGAGTATTAAGACCGGGGTTAGGGAGGCGTTTTGTAGATCTTGTAGATCACCCCCGGCTCTTTCTATTAAGGGCTTTGTTTCAACAGCGTCGACACTCCTCCTATCATTTAACACCTTGGACACCAGATAGAGACAGTGTCAGACGTGCTTTGAAACCAAATATATGCCAAGCAGTGCATCTGAAATTAAATTTACTTAGCCCAGATCATATCAAAGATGACGTCGTATCTACTGATGCAAGATGAAGGAGCAGCCTGAAACTTGGCCCACATATATTCACACAGCGAGGCGATCCACAACGCAAAAACTATGTACGTTGCAAGGAAGATAACTGCATCATCATATTAGGCAGAGCTAACAGTAATGAGCTCAAATAACCCCCAGGTTCAGACGGGCACGGTGTTCTCTATACTCAAGAAATTGACCTGAGTGTCGCTGAGCGTACCTCTTGCTGATAACCCGCTAGGGGCCAGGTTGTCCGTTACATTCCACCAGAGAACTCTTTTATCTATCCTCTGCGGGGTGTAGGAAATGTTAACAAAACCACACGGACTTTCAAACAACTCGGGTAAATGAGGAACTGTGATATACAGGTTTTCTTTATAAAATTAGAAATACAGCAGAATAGCAATACAAATCCTCGATGGTCTAACGGTCATGATTTCCGCTTGTCATCCCTTACAGGAACAAGCGCGGGAGACCTGGGTTCGACTCCCAGTCGGGGAGATTTCTTTTTTAACTTACTCTCTCCACTGAGAACTTATTTTTACTTCTCTCGACAATACTGGAACCAAACTACATTTAGTGTTCAGCCTGATCTGGTTCTTACTTTGACATTGAGCAGAATTCGCAACCCTAAGCTAACCATTGCAAATTAATACGTGTAGTGCAATCCTTCTCTGCACATGTTCCATTTCCTGTACCCAGAGACACTTGTCTAGTTCTTTATCCAGATGTTGTCAAATACATATTGGAGTAAGAGATAATTTAACCTATGCTCAGACTTTTCTAGTACATCACGATGCTTTTGTGTATATTTGGTATCCGTCCGTTAAGCCATTTAGCCTTATTCAAGAAACAGATTTCTTTTCAGGTAAGGGCAATTCATTTACTAGGTGCATGGCACCCTCCAAAACAACTATATATGCTTTTGTCCTATTCCTTATCTCGCTCCTTTATATGCTCGGCTGTTATCCATAGAGATATACTCTAGCAGGGGGGTGGACTTTTATTATCAAAAAGGCAAGGCTATAGCTGCGAGTCTGACTTTCTGCTTGTAGGCTTTTTGCAGTGTCAACTCACATGAAGGGAGCTGCTTCATCTTTCAGTACTTCTGTATTGGTTTGATTGACTTTGTTTAATGCCATGACTGTACTACTATTAGCGAGAGCTCTTTCGCTTCCTCATATATCCTTCTATGTACGCGGTCTCACAGTTGATCCGCTAGGACTATAGTATCATTTCACATTCAATGCAAATATGCTTTTTACTACAGGGCACGATCCAACGCACTGCGTTTCTTGGTAGGAGGGGAACATGCACATGTCATAGATTTTCTTACACTCTTTGGCAATCCGTTATGGGCTCGACGTGTTACTCCATAGGATGAGAATACTTGTTTATAATTTACCCTTTAGGTGACTATACTTTCACAGGAAAAGAATGCCTGAGAAGATCCAATTCAGGCAGGAGACAGTGATAAGAGTAACTCAGCAAGGGTACAGGAGGGCAATTTGGTGACATCTCCCTCAAAAGCCTGGTGTATTGTTTGACTTAGAGATAATCTGCTTGGCTTGCTGTTACACTAACTGTTATTATAGAGCTCATGGCCTGTTCTGAACGTGTAGAAAGCTCAGTACTATCAGGCAGGAGCCCCAGAGAATGCAGGCATAAATATTCAAGCAATCGTGGCTTACCGTTTTGATTCATTGTCTCTGGGTGCAGTTCAGAACAATTGTAGGTGGTCTTGAAGTGAGCCATACCCATACCATCAACCTTTTACCGAGCTCTTAAAACTTGTTGATCAGATCCATGCAAATATACTGCCTGTCACGTTGCATATACACTCAAACACATACATCTATACTATCATGACAGTTTCCTCATGCTATACATCTCGAGCCATGATGAATAAAGTGGAGAGTCATTCATTTTTAATATCTGCCAGCCAGCAATGGCTGAATATTCACCTCAGTACTATAGGGCATCTATTATTCTCATTGTTAGTATATTAACTATACTCTTCAGGAACTCTGTATCATCTAGTATATCTAGATTAATTATGATATATACTCTTACCCTTGTACGGATCCACAACTAGCGGAGGTGGTGAGCTCTCTTTCATCAATTTAAAGCAATTTAAATATTTACCACGGCAGATATGAGCTCGACACAATGCAGCATTTGTCTCATCTCTCTGTTCTCGATAGGCTCTTGCCCAGTCTCCTCTGGCTGGGTCAAATGCTGCATCGCGCCTTTCCAACCCTTGATTAATGACCCAAATTCTTCTACATGACAAAGAATCTAACATCTTTAACGTTCATTACTAGATATTTATATTGGTTCCTGCCTTCAACTAGAGTTGTTTTATCTATACACTCTTTAATGGTACTGCGCAGTGGTTAATTCTCTAGATTTTATCCTCGGAGCTGTGGGCAAACGAGCTCGAAGGACGCAGAAACTGTGGACGAGGCGCAAAATATGAACTACATGAAACGCTACCAACAGCAGTTGGAGTGTGTGCATCTTTAATATGCCCGTGAACATCTATTTTGACTTATGTCCTATAGGCGAAGCTAAAAAGCAGTAAAAGCTTTCGCCCCGAGTGATATCTCAGGTATTCAGCCCTGGGATTAGTTGAGGTCTTTCCACTAGGAGCATTTTACACCTGGTATAGTATCTTCTCGTTGCATGCTAAAGATTAAACAACAACAAGAAGCCTTAGTTTTACTGTTAGGGTATAGCGGGATGCCTAACCAGGAACTTCCTTGTCATAGCTTTCAACAGCCTTTCAGCTTAGATATACTGAAATTTCCGAAGAAGCAGTTGGAGTCATGACATCTGAAGACCAAACCCCGGTCTCCCTCTTAAAATATCCGTGACATACCCTTGGAGAGTGGCAGTTACTGGTGTTGACAAGGGGGCTGGTTCAAACGTGCCTCAATAACTATGCGATATAGCCATATCCGCTATTGTTTCAGAAATAATGCCAGGTAGAGATACATTAGAGAGATATGCTATGAGACCACAATGCTAGGTTTTACCAGCTTTGCTAAAAGAATGGGGCTACGTGTGCAGACTTATATCAAGGTCAATGGTAGAGAAAATTGATATCGAGAAATAACCCCTTTAACTATTGGGTGATTCTCGTAAATAATCAAGCTACTTAATGATTCGGGTGCACTTATGATACTTATAAGTTAATGACAGATACGATCTGATGGCGACACAGCATTCATTCCAGGAGAAGTATGTAGTCTCCATAGTTCCTCTGGTCACCATAGCCACTATAGCCCAATAACCAAAAGACCATCATGACTGCTTTCTAAGTAAATCAGGATCAAGAAATATCTATAAGCGTCTACAAAACCGCATCTTGAAAGGTAGGTATACCACTGAACCAAAGACCAAAGGGGGGTAACTGTTTAAAGAAAGCCATGGATAACCGACTTTCAGGATACCTGCCACATAGGGACTCCTTCTTCTTCCATTGACTACAATCATGGAACTGACTTATCCTGTCATTGGTGCTACTAGTGATACTACTAGTCAGCGTGTCGCCCAGTTCCTTTCCAAATGTCTGATTTTCTTCACACCTAAGCCCAGACATACATCTTCTAAAGTCATGGCATCGTTTACAACTTCGCTTTATTACGTCTGGGAGGACAAATGTACTTCATGGCATAGACAAGAGTTAGAAAAAATCTTCGTCCTTACATTACGATCCTGACATAGGGAGGCCTTACAAATTCCCTTTGCAGGTATTTCAGTTCTATATATATTCCGAGTCGTTCCCAGCGGGCAGCACTTAGTTTGGCAATCCATAGCGGAATCGGTACAATACCTAGCGGCTGGGAGCTGCCTAAAATCAATTTTCATTTGGGTTATTTGCTGGGTCGCTTAATGTCAAAGACAGTACTAGGTAAATACTTGGGGTTTAGCAAAAACAGTTGTAGAATTAAAGAAAGAGTGAACAACAGACATTTAGGGCTGCAATGACTAAGCATCAATAACTAACGTGATCGGTATGCATGTAAGCGGGTGACGCAGCTCTGTATTCCATACAAATCAGCCCTTTTTGCTACTTGAATATCTCAGCAACCAGAGATTGCTAAGATATGATATTTTATATATAATATATTATAGGGTAAAAAGGCTTAAAATATTTTTCTCTTATTTTTTACTCTTAGTCTTACAATTTCCAGTAGAAATATCAAAAATACAGGTGTAATATTAATACTGAAAGAAGTATCGCTTATATAAACTTCTTTACTTTATAGATTAAAGATAAAGTACTAATATATACTATCTTCGAATATTATATTACTATAGCTTGTGGTTGCTGAGATATTCCAGTAGTAAAAAGGGCTGATTTGTATGGAATACAGAGCTGCGTCACCCGCTTACATGCGTCGCTCGCATACCAGTTACGTTAATAACTAGTTAGTTTGCCGCCGAATTTACGTACAGATCACATGATATCAAACTCCGGCGACCACCCGAAAGGAGCAGTTGTTGAACTGTTGTTTTCCCCGACGACTCGATTGATGCAACAATTTGCTGCCTGCGGTCGAAGCAGATCCAGCATTTCTTAGATCCGGTGGCAAATACTGCCCTGGATGTATTCGTCAATGCAGCGAGGCAGACTGCTTTCGTCTGTTGCACGACCCTGCCGATTTATTGCGCACCGCCGATATCCCGCACTTGTCGGCTCGACTCCGCGTCGATTCCATCTTTCGCGAGGGTGGCAATCATCAGCGCCCTCCGACCCTGAAGATGCACGCGGTTCCTCCCCGGCAAGTGTCACTAGTGATATTCCGACCATAAATGCCGAACACACCGTACCCGGACATGATGCCTCATCGATTACATCGCCCTCCGCAGAACGCGCCGGGAAAAAGGAGTCGAGCCCATATGGGTCGGCCGTGCGAAGAGCATTGAGAAACAGGAAATCGCTCAAGGAATGGGCTGCGCCGGCTGCAACTGTTCCTCCGTGGTTTTATGAGCGTAATACCGTGGTCAATGGAGGCGATGGCCATGCCGCTGCAGATCTTCCACAGCAAGTCAAGATAAGCAAACCGGGGCCGGAGAAGGCCAAGGATACGGCTGATGGCATGGCTCACGGTGGTAATGGTGATGGAGCGCCGTCCGAATCCAGTGGTGTGCCCGACACCGAGGAGCGGTACGCTTTGACCGAGGCGTTATGGGAGGAATTATGCGCATCTGCGAAGGCGGGCTTACGACTCCCCCCTGCAAAATATGCAAAAGAACCTTCGGCACGAAAGTCTCATCTCGTTCTCCAGTACCCCGGTGCAGATGGCATTTTGTTCCTAGATGCGGTTGTAAAAAGGCTAGGGCAGGAACTCGGTGCTGACGTGGTGACGCTCAACGCTCAAGATATTGCGCAACTATGCAGCGAACAGGACCTAGAGGATGTCGGCACGACCTCGCCTATTAGATCTCTTGGCTATGATGTATATCGTCCAACGGCTTCGGAGTCCTGGCATGACGACAGCATGGGTGAAGGAGATGATGAAGCCGAGGTTGAGATCTCTCCGCGCAGTTTGCGATCTGGTCTGAAGGGCCCAAAGTTTATCACTATCGAGAGTTCCCGAGAGGCAGGCGACATTCCTCTTCCCGGCATACTTGGCTTGAAATCGTTAGTCTCTGCGTTCAACGGACCTGTAGATGGCTCAGCAGCATCGTCAAATCCCACGGATCGAGCAGAGGACCGGCGGCTCCAACTCATCAATGAGCTCATTTCCTCCGCTAGCGGGCCAAAACGGAAGTCGGCCGCCGAACTACCTTTGGATAAGCCTGCAGAATCTAAAAGCCCTGAAAACAAAACACCTGTGCGCGATGTGATTGTGCAGATCCAGGACTATGGAGAAATCCAGGCTACTCGTGAAGGAGCTAGATTTATTTACTTATTGCAAAAAGCTATTCAAGACCGTAGAAGAAATGGGTCTCGTGTTCTATTTGTTGGAACTGCCTCGCAAGACGCCGCTTCAGAATCGGATGCATCAAGACTAATGCAAAATGCATTTGATGACCAATTCTCACAAATGCTTGTCATCACACCTGCCATGGGATTGGAAGCAGCAGAGAAAGTTTTCACGGATGATCGAAAAAAACGAACATTGGATATCAATATTCGCCATATTCAAGATATGCTTCGGACACGGTTGGGGGATCCCTCGACCCTCGAAGACGATATATTCGGCAACCGCGCTTGGCCATTGGATGCATCCATCGTAAAAGAGTCCGGACTTGAAGAGCGGTATTGGCCCTACAGCCAGGTGCATTGGGCCACAACGCTTGCACTGGGAAGTCTTGGTTCCGACGAACTCTTTGGTTTCCAGCACATCCAGAAGGGAATCGAAATGATGCAAAGAACAGATCGCATTAAGAATGACTGGATGCAAGAGAAAGCACCCAAAACGAAAAACACAGAAACCGGTAGTGATCGGGAGCGGCTGTTGAGTTCATTACGCAAAACCTGCAATTCACATGAGAAAAAGTTGCTGAACGGGGTTGTGGACGCCAAAAGTATACGTACTACGTTCTCTGATGTCCAAGTCCCTCCAGAGACCATCGATGCCCTGAAGACGCTCACCTCGCTTTCTCTCATTCGCCCGGAAGCTTTCACCTATGGTGTTCTTGCTACGGATAAGATTCCCGGGTTACTACTGTATGGGCCTCCTGGCACCGGTAAGACTCTCCTTGCCAAAGCCGTAGCTCGCGAGAGTGGAGCCACTGTCCTTGAGGTTAGTGGCTCCGAGGTCTATGACATGTATGTCGGTGAGGGTGAGAAGAATGTCAAGGCTATCTTCACGTTGGCCAAGAAGTTGAGCCCATGTGTTGTATTCATTGACGAAGCGGATGCTATCTTCTGCTCGCGGACCGGAGCTAGTAGTCGCACATCCCATCGGGAGCTCATTAACCAATTTTTGCGGGAATGGGACGGGATGAATGATCTGTCAGCTTTCATTATGGTTGCCACCAACCGACCGTTTGATCTCGATGATGCTGTTCTCCGGCGTCTCCCGAGGCGACTGCTCGTAGACCTGCCCCTTGAACAAGATCGGCTGGCCATCCTGAAGATCCACTTGAAGGAAGAGAATCTAGATAGCTCTGTTGACCTCGCTGAGCTAGCTCGCCGCACTCAACTCTATTCTGGATCCGATTTGAAGAACCTCTCCGTCGCCGCGGCTCTAGCCTGCGTCCGGGAGGAGAATGACCTGGCGGCTCAGCACCAGGGTGACGAGCCCTACCAATACCCAGAAAGACGCACGCTGACCTGGAAGCATTTCGAGCGTGGAATGGAGGAGATCAGCGCATCAATCAGCGAGGATATGTCGTCACTCTCGGCGATCCGTAAGTTCGACGAGCAGTATGGCGACCGCAAGAGTCGGCGTAAAAAGAGCCCTGGATGGGGATTCACGCCTGCTAGCACCGAGGAGGCTAGTTCCGATGCTGCGCGCGTACGGACATGATATGACTACAATATGGGAAACATTTTAGAGGGATTGGTGTTCATTCTTGCGACAATAGGATTTGGGATCTCACGCGACGACTTGTATACTATTAGCGATATGATAAACCTGTATCAATACATACCATAGGCTGAAAAGTGACATATAATTTGTTGA